TCATTGTCATTGTCATTGTCATTGTCATTGTCATTGTCATTGTCATTCTGATTCTTATTCCGATTCTGATTTAATTTGATACCCCATTAATTTAATTATGCTAATGCATAATTTCAAAGCAATGATGAATGCATAGAGATAAGACGCATTAGTAGATATTTAAATTCCAGTTGGTGTTTTTCCCTCGCAGCTGTTGACAAAGTCCGGCTCTTGCGGAATAGGCCTTTGTTGACTAGACAGATCCTATTGAAATATAATCCGATTAGTTGCCATATTGGACTGAATAGAGCTGAGAGCTGTGCATGTATCGCATTTCATGCTCTTTGTTTATCCATAACCAAAGATGAGGATTACAGCCTGCTGGTATGCTGATGCCGCTGCTGGCATACACAACTGCCATTGGCATATAATAAGCATTTCGATACCGAAACGCTGCAGTTTGCTCATCAATGTTTGGTGTAAGCTCATGCGACACGTTCGCCCACTAACAAACAGTCCCCAGCGAACTACAAAATTGTCAACTAATGTCAAATGCAGCTGCACATCGACATCGGGTGAAAGGTAGGCGGCTCGAGTCAGCTATTTGCTGCGGCAGTTGGTTAGGCTTAGCCAAGAGTCATGACTGCAGCTGACTATGGCAGGCGTCGGGATTAGTTTGCCTCTAAGTGATATTACATGCTACTTGAGCGCACATTTTCACGCCAGGTGTGTGTAACAAGCGCACACACAAACGCAGTGAGAACACATTCAACAGCCTGGTGCTATTTGCTGCCACTAGCTGCTTGCCACATGCAACTTGTTATGCAAGAGCACACAGCAGAGTAAAGAACAGCCAACAAACACTTCACATGCCTCAGACTGGGTATCAAGAGTCGTACATAATATATATGCGCTAAAATATCGTTGGGAATACACGTACACGTATTCCTTATAAATTTGGAAAAAGCTTTCTGAGAATTGAATAATATTTGTGGGGTAGACATGAAAAATTACCCTATAAATTATTGCAATTTTTTTCTTTTTAACTGAGCTACTCAGAACTATAAAATGTTTTATTTAAGCGCTGAAAAAATATATATTTTAATGTTTATTGATTTTTAAACATAAACGAAGAATATGTACAAGTGATTTATATGAGTATGAATAAATCTGTATCTGTATCTGTATCTGTATCTGTATCTGTATCTGTATCTGTATCTGTATCT